GTGGTAGTGATAGATTAGTGATATATTTACTACTAGTATAAATGTATAAATCTAGTGATAGCTAAGCCTATAGACTCTTAAGTATTATTAGGACTATCTCTTGCATTACCAACACACAGTACATCAGTTGTATTACTTAATAGCTTGAGTTAGTGCTTGAGGTAGCCTTAAAATATATTGTATACTGTAGTTGGTACATTTATTTCTCAGATTTATATGTAATGAAAATGGTGAAAAATTACAGGAAAATATGGATTTGTATGAAAGAATATAGATAAAATTCAGTTCTGCTCAGCACTCTAAATGTATAGTTTGGACTGGCCACTTTTTATTTTGTTTTATCTATTTACTTTACTATCTTCCGAACTGTAGTGTATTGAGGACCTGTTCATATTTCCTGTTCATAATCATGAATGTTCAATATGTTTCCTCAGTAAGTGCAAGAAAACACAAATTTAGGACAAGTTTAAATGTTCTTATTTCTAGCTGAGGAGAAAACTGTACCATGTGCAATAGTAAAACATCAAATTTTATTTTTTAAAAAGCACTTAGGCATTATGGATTTGACTTCAGGTTTGTACAAACTAAAAGAAAAATGAATGCTAGATGTGTACAACATTGATTTTTCCAAGTTCAATAAAAAGTACCATTCAGATTAAGCTTGACAAATCAGTGGGAAAGTTGTAATTCAATTAAAATTTTAACCCAAATTTCTGAAATCTAAAGATTCTGAACAGATTTTCAGGTACATAAAGTGCTGTTCTTCCACTGGGATAAATCAGAATGGCTGTACAGATTGTGAAAGTACTAAAATGCTTCTGTACTTTATTTAGAAGTTATGTATAGATTAAAAAGATGTTTTAAGTATGAAGTTGGAAAGATTAATGTTATAGAAGTATACTGACAGAAAAGTATTTGCCATGGCTCACTGTTATTTTCCAATGTTTGAGAATAACATTTCTACTTTAACGTTATAAAATACAGTGGTACCTCAGTTCAAATATATCAAATAATATTGTTAGCACAAAATTACTGTTCAGTTCAAGAACACTGTTGTTTGCAAACAGGTTGGTTCCCAAACAGAAGCATTTTGGGAAAATTTTGATTCTGTTTGAAAACTCTGTATCAGGTGATGAACAAAACCTTGGCCATATTCGCTCCATGAACACAGATGTGGTCATATTTTGGAGAACTGTGGACAAATTCAGTTCATGAACCAAAGTACCACTCTGTTCTCAAACCTGTAGGCGCAGATGCTTACATAGCTGAATTCTGAAAGAAAGGATAGTACCCTTCAGATACCGCACTCTATCATTAAATGTTTTGATACTACAATATATAAAAATCATAGATGTATTCTACCAAAGTGATTATATACATGCAGTTCAGTTCAACATGGAAATTTTTCAGTATGAGATAATGATAATGAAGAAATATTCAATAGTTTAATTATATCATATAAAAAGCCATTACATTTGTCACACCTAGAACATAATGATTAATAACAGTAATTTTGTGCTAACAATATTATTTGATATATTTTAATTTTATGGAAAATTTTTTTAATAATTAGTGACACAGTGCAACACTTCCTGAATATAGGTTATTTTAACTCATTTAATTTCTATGGTTCTTATTGCTATAAAAGATAAACTTACGAAGAGAGAGAAATCTGAATAGGAAAAGAGGACACTAGCTACACTTATCAAATCATTAAACTTATCTTACAATTTTATTTGAATAATTCTGCAGAGGAATTTGTTGAGGTTCAGCTTTTAAAATTTTGCCTTTTCTCTGATCCTAATTATTTGAGGGATCTCCAGACTGATTTCCAAAGTGGTTGCACCAGTCTACATTGTGACCAGCAATGAAGAAATGTTCCTTTTTCCCTACTGCTCCTCCAGCACTTGTTATTGGTTGATTTCTTTATGGCAGCCATTCTTACTGGGGTGAGATGAAACCTCAGTGTTGTTTAAATTTGCATTTCTCAAATGATCAATGATGTTGTACATTTGTTCATGTATTTATTTCCCATTTCTATTTCTTCATGTAAGAAGTGTATATTCATCTCAAATGCCCATTTTTGGATTGGGTCTTTGAATTTGGCAGGTCTGATTTTTTTCAGTTCTTTATATATTCTACATATAAGTTCTTTGTCTGAGGGACAGTTAGCTGAAATATTTTCCCACTCTGGGTTGTCTTCTTTTCACTCTATTGGTGATTTCTTTTGAAAACAAAAGCTTTTTTATTAGGATGAGATCCCAGTTGTTGATTTTTGAAGTGTTTCCCATGCAGTTTGTGTTTTGTTCACGAAGATGGTGCCTATTTCTATGTCATAAAATTTTGACATATTTTCACTTCCAGTAGATTTAGTGTTTCTGTTTTAATATTTAGATATTTGATCCATTTTGACTTTAGTTTAGTGTCTGGTCATAGACATGGGTCTAGTTGTAGTCTTTGGCATGTAGGGAGCCAGCTTTTCCAGCACCATTTATTAAAGAGGTTTTCTTTCTTCCAGTGAACATGTTTGGCCATTTAACCCAGTTATTCCACTTCTGGGTATTTTCTCAAAAAAATTAAAAACATCATACCACAGTGATATAAATGTGCACTCATGTTTACAGCAGCACAATTTGTCATAGCAAAATCTTGGAAATAACCCAAATGCCCATCACCTGAAGAGTGGATAAAAAGATGTGGTATTTTTATACAATGAAGTATTACTCAGCTATAAAGAAAGACAAACCCGAGGCTTTTGTAGATAAATGGATGCAACTAGAGACCATACTCATAAGTGAAATAAATCAGACCCACATGTGTAAACATCATATTGTCTTCCTAGTGTAAGAAACTGAAAGAGTAAATAATATTTGAAAGAAGGTACAATAGATGTTGTGAAAGAGAAAAAAAACTGCTCAATAGGAAAGAACAACTGGGATGAAGGAAAGGAGGAAAAGAAAGAAAGAAAGGAATATACATATATATATATATATATATATATATATATATACACATACACACAACATAGCTAAGATAATTGTACTACTAATTTTCTATTGGTTTGTTGAAAGGAACAGGTAATGTTTAATTGCTTGTTCAATCTTGCATGCCTATATCTGGTAATCTGAGCAACTACTTTGAAGATAATCAACCATTGTTGATTTCCAATCTTGTTCTGAAATTCTGTGTCATTTTTATAGTTTTTGTGTTGTTTTGTTTTTGACTTTGTTTTTGTTAATTCATTTCTGTTCTTTTTAAATTTAAAAGTTTAAAAAAGAAAAAAATAAATTTTTCCTTCTCAAATACCTACTGATTATGTTTTCAAATGATTTAGAAGGGATTAAATGATTAGATTTTTTAGCAAATGTGTGTCAACATCCCCTGAAACTCTTTGTTTGGAATATTATAATAGATTTGAACATAAATAAATGAAACTCTTAGGTTAATTTTGAAAAATGAAAACCTAACTAAGGAAACATCTCTAATCATTTCAAAGTTCTGTGTTCACAGGCCCAATATCTTTTGTAAAACCACTGCAGCTTCACATTTTAAAGGGTTACTCCTACCTTGAAAGTGTGGATGAAATGTGCTTATTTTTCTCTACAACCTCTGTTACTCATTTACCATACTATTGACCAGTACTAAATTTTAAATATGGGCTTATATGTTCAATTATTTCTTTCCTTATTATATATATATATATATATATATATATATATATATATATATATATTTGGGCTAAAAGAATTATAAATACACAAGAGTTGGGGCAATTTTTTGGATCTGGAATATTTCTCAAAGATCCATGTGTTAAAGTTTCAATCCCTGGCTTGGTGCTATTGGGAGGTGGCAGGAACTAGGAAGTGGGACTCTGGGTGATCTTCCAGTCACTGTGAGTACGCTTTGGAAGGGGCTGGTGAGTGCTTGTACTCTTCATCCTCTTCCCTTTTGTTTCTTGGCCATGAGGTGAATATTTTCATGTGCTGTCACAGGTTGAAAGCAATAATGTCAACTGATTATGGACAGAAATGTCTTAAAATGTGAACAAAAACAATATTTTTCTTCCATATAAATTGATTTTCTCCTGTATTTGTCATAGTGAGGGAAAGCCATCTAATATAGCTGGCACTTATAGGCTGAAGCATTCTCTAAGACACTAAGGGAGAATAACGGTGCATGGTGGCCCTGCCAGTGACAAACGGGATTGTAGCAGAAGTGGCTTTCTCACATTGATATCCAGGAAAGGTGTCAACATCAACATATTTATCAAATTTGAATTAAGAATTCCTTCTTCATATTCAAGAAAAAATATAAATGGGTCTTCTAATACTTATTTCCCAGATCCAAACCAACAATTTTGCTTTTTCCCATGAGTTCATACCCCACTTTGGAAATAGCCATCTGAGTTCTAAAGATACACATTTTACTGAACACTGCTAAATGTTTTGATTTGTGAATATTTTACTTAAAAGCACATTCTGTACCCCTGTGATATAAATCCACTGAAGAAAAGTGATCACCTGTATTATATTTTTCCTTATGAAAATGTTATCTAGATAATCAGCTTTTATGTAAGTAAAAATAATTCAGACCGACATTGTCAACTTTTTTACTACTGTTCAATATTTAATTACTAATCAACTTCATTAGCTTCAGAGTCTTGTTTGGATCTTCATATTTAGGAGAAAATGTTTCAGAGAAGATTAGATTAGGTGGGAATTAGAAATTGATTTTACTAATGTCAACTGTTTTATCCTGTTCCTATGGAAGTTTTCTCACCAATATCTATTACTAGCTTCTTCTTAATTATACTAAGCCTAAGAAATTCAGTCTTGCCATCCAAGATAGTAGTAGAAATATTTAAATATAGATTCAATCTGTTTATTTCATTACCTTGGACCTTAGGTTTCAATATGTTCAAGTCTATTTTCTGTTTAATTTTTAAAAAGACACAAATTACTTTCAAAAATTCATATATACTACTTACCGTAAATATCATGGTAAAATATTTCAAGTTATGACCAGGTGAGACTCCTCTATTTGCACTTTCAGAGTTTCTGAGGGAATCAGAAGAGAGAGTTGTATAATTGACAGCTGTTTGCAAGACTCCAAACTCTAAGAATAATTTAAAGGCAGATTACTTTTACAGATTGTTCATTAACATACAGAGGGGCTATCACAAGGGGCTTATTTCCTGTATGCCTCTGCATAAATAGAATCTTTGTGTGAGAAGTGTGTGTGTGTGTGTGTGTGTGTGTGTGTGTGTGTGAAATTGGTGTTGGGAAGTGGGTTAGTGAGAGACTAACAGAAGGCTGTTCCACAGTTGAAAGGGTCATGGGCCAGGTTTAATAGAAGACTTCAGCAAACAAAACTGACCTGAGAGTTTTTCTGAAAAACTCAATCAATCTCATATTTTCCCATGAACTACTTAGTACAGTTAGAAACAAAGGAGCTGAGTGAGCACCCCCTTCCCTCCATTCAACTGTAAGCACCACATCATCCTCATGATTATCTATGCTTCTGTAATCCTAAAAAAGGCACAAAATAAAATAATAAAAGCCCAGATGTTGCCATGCCCAAGGTGGCAGATCACTGTCTATGACCTTTTAAATATTGCAAGCCTGAGTTATTGGGTTCTTTTTTATTCATTTTTTTCCCTTTTTTGCTATTCCTGCTGCTACTTCCCTGTGATCTTCAATAAACACAGCTACTTATCACATAATGCAAGACGTATGCATGGCAATGCTTTCCTCGTAATACACAAGAACCTGGATTAGTTTTGGCCCATTCAGCTGTAACATACTTATATAAAATATGACTGTGAGGAATAAAGGTCTCTTGAAAAAAATAATTTCAGTTTTATGATTGCATGAGCTTATAATATGTGTGTGTGTGTGTGAGAGAGAGAGAGAGAGAGAGAGAGAGAGAGAGAGAGATGTTTATGCATTTAGTGGATGACTTGTTTTTCTAATATCATTTTCAAACCCGAGCTAAGCAAAGCATAGTGCCCTCAAATAAATATTTCACTAAGAAGACTTTATACCATAATGAAAGTAGAACAATTACACTTTGACTTGAATTTGGCTATTGTTGGCTAAAAACTTTTAGGATTCTAATTGATCTACCCAAACTCAATATTCGTTTGGAGTCTCATTCTGAACATTTCACTGCAATTTATTGTTGAAAACTGTTTGCTTTAAGTAACAGTGACAAGTCAGAAAGACAGGGTGTTTTTGAAATCTGTACTTAGGACTTTATAAGCTTCTATAAAATTTTGTCTTAACACATGAACCCAAAATGTCTAGCACTCTGAAAACTTTGAATCAATAAACAGTTAAATCCTTGAAGGCTTTATCATGATCCTTACACTTTATGCTTAAATATTGATAGAATCCATACGCACTTGAGACATGGATTATTTTCCAGAATGTGAGCAGATTTTCAGTTTTAGTTTTCTTTTTCTTATATATATTTGACCTGTGCAACCACCTCGAAACCTACAGTGGACATTTGTCTAGGAGTCAAACAGTACTAGCATGACTGTGGAAAAGTTTTATTGCGTTGCATTCTGGGCTCAGGAATAGGCCTTAGTGGGAATCGGAACCCAGGAGGGAAGATTGGATATATAGGGAAGGCTTGAACTCTGTCAGCTGGAGACCACAGATGCTGATTCAGTCCATGGTACCAAGGCAGAGGCAAGAATTCTGAGATCTATCCAGTGCTATGTTGCCTCATGGATGCTATGGCACAGAATCGAAGAAAAATCTACAAGAATGTGGCGAGACGGTAGAATTAGTGATAGACTAATTTGCGAAACTCTGCTCTATGAACCGCTGGGTTTCTTTTTTTTCCTGTGTGCAGTATATTCCTAAGGAGGAGCTTATAAAAATGGAGATGGGTTTTAAAATGCCAACTAAGACCTCACTATACTATACTTGACCTTAGTTAAAAGGTGGAGAAGCGATACATCTTGCTATAGTTAACTACAAAAGTTCATTAAGTTGTTTAAATTCTGCTATCTACTTCTGGCTTCTACCTGTGAAATAAAGTTCTAATTCCTTTTAGATGATAGATGTACAACTCTGAAAATAAAACACAATAAGAGATATGGCAGAACTGTAGATGTAGATTGTTTACAATCAGTGACTTTGTGTCCCAACAACCTTATAGTTTGATAAGAATAATTATTCTTATAGAATAAATACAGAATAAATAATTTTATTTATTAATTAATAATTTTATATAATAAATAACCTATAGAATAAATAATTTCCCCCCAAGGCTCATGTGTTCACAATTCCAGATTTCAATGCATAATAGGATGGGGGAATGGGACTCCATCAATGAATTAATCCATGAATGAGTTTGTACCTGAGTGGGCTGTAGGACATAGGAACTAGCTACAGAAAATAGCTCACCTGTGATACAACCTGGAAGGGTAGATCTCCCCAGCTTTTCTCTGTTTCTCTGCTTCCCACCTGATGTAAAATGAGCAGCTTAGATGTGTCATGCCTTTCTACCACGATATTTCTACCTTGAACCTAGCTGACCATGGACTGATATCTCTGAAACAATGAACACTAAAACTCTCCTTCTTTAAATTATTCTTGGTATTTTGCCACAGTAACAAAAAGCTGACTAACACATATGCCAACATTTCAGTAACAGATATAGAATTAGAAGTAAAATCTTATTCCCCTAAGTAGTTCTAAAGTATCTGTGCTTGAAAAGAAGCATATTACTTCACAGGTTTATATTAGTTTTTTTACTGAATCTTTATCTATTATAAAAAGCAACTCCGACAGGTGGGAAAGTAATTTTTCATTGATGCTATAACAAAAGTAATAGTTGCTCAAATGAAAAAGCATTGAAAACTGAAAAATATACGTAGAAAATTAGCACAAAATAACAATTTTCAAAATAAAGGAATCACCAAAATAAATTAAAATTGTCTTTGCCATCCTTCTTTCCAAAAGGATTATAGACGTGTAGGCTAAAGCCTTAGCGACATTTTCATTACTAATACTTTCAACTTTCAAATGGCATTTGTACCTTTGATGATTGTTTTCTATCATCTGAGAGATTCAGATACGTAGGTAGATTACAATTCCTTGTGATTACAGAGTAATGAAATTACTGAAGTGTAAAAATTTTCAATTATCTACATCAACCTCATGCATATGGATTATCACTGGCAAATGCTTTATTTAAAATTAATTTTATTAGTACATTTTAGATATACACAACAATCACATTCATCATGTGGAATTTATACCTATGCATAAAGAAACTTGATTCTTCTTTTCTTCCTAATCCTCTCTCCTTTGAACTCCTCTTCCTCTTCTTATTTACAAAAGCTTTGCTTCTATTTTTTCTTTCTATTCACTTTTTTTCATCCTCCTCTTTTCCAATTCCCTTTCCTCCTCAACAATTTTTTCCTATTTAACAATATGTATTATACATTTTTGTCCTCATTTATCCTTTCAGTTTCTCACTCCAGAGTAACAGTGTGGTGATTAAACATGTATATCTAATGTATTTCACTTAAGAGTATGATCTCAAGGTGCATCTACTTAAGTAGAAGTGTCTCGAGTTTGTCCTTCTTCTTTATGGCAGAGTACTACTCCACTATGTAAAAGAAACCACATCTTCTTCATCCATTCATCAGTTGAGCGTTTGGGAAGTTTCCAGGATTTAGCTATTACAAACCTTGCCACTATAAACATGGGTGTGCATATAACATTGTGGTATGATGCTTTTAATTCTTTTGGTAAGATACCAAGAAGGAGAAGAGCTGGGTGAAATGGAGCCTCTAGCTTTAGTGCTTTGAGGAATCTCCACGCTGATTTCCACAGTGGTTAGAATAGCCTACACTTCCACCAACAGTGAAGAAATGTATCTTTTTCCCCACAGCTCTGCTATCATTTCTTATTGGTTGATTTTCTGATAATAGCCATTTTTTTTCTGGAGTAGGATGGAATCTTATTGTTTTAATTTGCATCTCTCTAATAACCAGTGATGATGAATATTTTTTTATATATTTATTTGCCATTTCTACTTCATCTAAGAAGTGTCTATTCAAATTCAGAAGCCCA